TATAGCCCAAGGAGTGTTCTTTCCGTCTGCAAGACCAACGTACTACTGTGGTCTTTCTTTCTTTCCTTCTTTCTCTCTTAGTTCCCACATAGGAGTGAGTACATGTGGTATTTATCCCTCTGTGCTTTACTTATTTCACTCAACATAAGTTTCTCCAGGCTCATCCATGTTGTTGCAAATAGGAGCATTTCATTTTTTTTTTTTTTATGGCAGAGTAGTATTCCACAGTGTATATATGCCACAGTTTCCTTATCCAATCATCCATCGATGGAAATTTAGGTTGGTTTCATGTCTTGGCTATTGTAAACAGAGCTGTGATGAACATGGGAGTGCAGGTATCCCTTTGACATGATGATTTCCACTCCTCTGGGTATACACCCAGAAGTGGGATTGCTGGATCGTATGGTAGTTCTATCTGTAGTTGTTTGAGAAACCCCCATACTGTTTTCCATAGTGGTTGTACTAATTTACAGTCCTACCAACAATGTAGGAGTGTTCCCTTCCCTCCACACCCTCGCCAGCATTTGTTATTCACAGTCTTTTTTATTATAGCCAGTCTAACTGGGGTGAGGCGGTATCTCAATGTAGTTTTAATTTGCATTTCCCTGATGACTAGTGATGTTGAGCATTTTTTCATGTACCTGTTGGCCATTTGTATGTCTTCCTTTGAAAAATGTCTATTCAGCTCCTTTGCCCATTTTTTAATTGGAATGGAATGATTTTTTAAAAAACATTCAAAAGTAATCAAGAAAGGACAGAAAATGAAACAACAGGAAGGACAAATAGAAAGTGCAAAATAAGATAACTGGTTCTGTAAAAAATTAGTTTTATCTATCTTAATGATACAATGTAGACTTTAAGGCAAAACATATTATTAGTAATAAAAAGTCACTTTGCATCTGATAACATCAAAACATTTTAATTGGGTGAATTTTATGGTATGTGAATTATATCTCAATAAAGTGAGATTATCCTGCAATTTCCCTTCCTGTACTCTCCTTGTCAGATATTGGTATCAAATTAATTCTAGCCTCAGGATAATCTCATTCATGAACATAGAAGCAAAAATCCTAAATGACAATTAGCAAACAACATCCAGGAATATATTAATAGGACATACACAATATCGAAGTTGGATTTATCCTAGGAATGCAAGGTTGTTTCAACATTAGACAATTACTAGAATACACCACATTAAAATTAAAAGGAAAAAATCATATGATCATCTCAATAGACTCAAAATAAAAATTTGATAATTTTAATTAACTCTTAACAAACTGAAAATACAAGGGAACTTCCTTCAATGGATGATAGATGTCCACAGAACACCTATAGCAAACATAAAATTGAAGGTGAAATGATGAAAGTTTTTCATTTAAGATAAGGATCAACTCCAGAACGGCTGACATCACCACTTCTATTCAACACTGTGCTAAAGATTTTAGGCAGAAAGTAAGGTAAGAAAATGAAGTAAAGGATATAAAAGTTGAAAGAAGTAAATTGTCATTATTTGCAGATGATCTGAATCCAAAAAGAGAGACTCCAAAAGACCTTATAGGTAATTTATTAAAATTATAAGAAAATTCAGCAAAAAGCTATAACAATTATATACAAAATCAGCATATAAAACTAATTATAATTCTCTATACCAGCAACAAACACCTGATATAAAAATATGTTACTTACAACACTGAAAATATATAGTATCTATAAGTAAATAAAAACTGATGTGCAAACGACTATGGATTAGAAGACTCAATATTTTTAAAATGTCAATTATTCCTTTATTTATAGATTCAATATACCTCCAATCAGAATTCTAATGGATTTTAGTTTAGTTTAATTTAATTTTTTTGTTATTGTGTTTTGTTTTGTCTTGTGTTTTGGTAAAACTTGGTAACCTAATTTCACAATTTATATTGAAGTGCAAAGGCCAAGAATATCACAGAAAGAAGAATAAACAGGGAGAACTTGATTTACCAGTTTTCAAATTCACTATAAAGCTATAATAAAGTCAGTGTGGTATTGGCCCAGTGGTAGGCAAACACGTCAATAGATCAGAATAGAGAGCACAGAAACAGAAGTGTGCATATAAGGAAACTTGACGTATGGTACAGATAGCCTAACAGCACAGTGGGAAAGGACAAACTTTTCAATAGATGATGCTGGGACAGCTATGTCTCCATGGGGTGGAGGGGGGAGTATAATTTTGATCATTACCTCACAGCATATACAAAATTTAAAGGTGAATTAATGACTAAAATATAAGTAGAAAAACTGTTAAGCTTTTAGAAAATAATCTAGTACACTATTTCCATGACCTTGAAAAAGGCACAAAAATCACTAAGACAAAGCAAATGTTGGTAAATCTAATAACAATAAATTTGACATTAAAATCAATGTGATTACCATAAAGAGAGAAAGAACAAGCTGCTGAGTGGGAGAAAATATATGCAACTTATACAGCCACGAAAAAATTATATTCATAATAAAGAGCTTCACAAGTCAGTAAGAAACCCATTGGAAAAAAGGGCAAAACCCTTGAACTGGCATGTCAGAAAAGAGGATGTCAAAATGGACTGTATATGTAAGAAACGGTATTCTAAATCATTTGACACCCAGGTTGACAAAACTGAAAATATGTGATGGCGGAACAATAGGAGTTCTCACAGTCTTCAGAAAACTGTATGGAATTAGGGCCGAGCCCGTGGCGCACTCGGGAGAGTGCAGCGCTGGGAGCGCAGCAACGCTCCCGCCGCGGGTTCGGATCCTGTATAGGAATGACCGGTGCGCTCACTGGCTGAGTGTGGTGTGGGTGACACCACACCAAAGGTTGCGATCCCCTTACTGGTCACGGAAAAAAAAAAAGACAAAAAAAAAAAAGAAAAAAAGAAAACTGTATGGAATTATCTAGTAATGTGGAAGATAAAAAGACCCTCTGACCAGCAATTCCATTTTAGGTAACAACCTAGAGAAACTGGTGCACATATGTACCAGCAGACGTGTACAAAAATGCCAATAGCTACATTGTTTGATGTAGCTAAAAATGAAAAAGGGCCCAAATAGCAATCAATAATGGAATGAAAGAGTGTATTATGATACGGGCTTGCGATGGAATACCATACAGTAATGAAAAAGAATGAGTCAGCTACACGCACCAACGTGGAAGAGTCTTAAAAACACAATTTTGTTTTATGCATGCTCAGTATGAGCGTGCTATTTCATACATTTCAAAAGTTAAGTTAAAAGAGTGTGGCATTGAGTTGGGGAAAACACCACTGTCCCAGCCTTGCCCCCTCTTGTCCTCACAGCTCAGGGTTCTGTGAGGGCTGGGAGATGGTGACTTGGCTTAGCCGCCGATGCTCTAAAGAGGGAAGCCATCAGCTAAGGCAAGAGCAGGACCCTTCAGGTCCAAGCGTCAAGGCTCCCATAGAGGGGAACATGTGAAGCACCCCTCTGTGGCCCTCAGAGCCACTGTAACAGGGGACACTTCATAGGTAGAGAGATGAGTTTGGCCATGCATTCTTTGTGATTTGGACATTGAAAATTAAAAACCAAAGTCAGCTGTATCCTGGGACTCTTGAAGCTAGTGGCATATTGGTTACAGATATTTTGTAAGTTTTGAAAGAAATATTAGTTTTCACAATAGGTATGCATTTCATGGTAAATATTCTAAGACATTATTATGTTTATGTATATGAATCATAAAATATAAACCCTGCGTGTAAGCCAAACTATTTGCATTTACCTAGGTATGTTTTTCACAAAAGTCATGCATTGCAGACAACGGACATTGGACGATTGACGTGAATCCTCCACAAGGTTCCGGGTGTGTGCGTGCTTGTGTACACAAACACATCCTCCCCCCACAGGACATGCCACACTACAGAAAGTCACATGCTTACCTTGTATGCTGCGTCACTGACAGCCTTGATGTTGGCTTCTCTCCATTTTCCTGGTACCCCACCAATTACCTCGCGATAGTTCACATAATAGCCAGTAATTTCTGCTCCTCCAGTATTATCTGGTTGCTTCCATCCAAGAACCATTGAGTCACGAAAACTTTCAAGACAGGTGATATCAGAGGGTGGAGATGGTGCCGCTGTTGCAACATGAATAGCTTGTGAGTAGACAGAAATGACTTTATGATTCTATATATATATTAAACTTACTTAATTGGTGCCATGTATGAGGGCACTAGATGTTGCAATATAAAACTGAAACATGAGACCGATCTATAACTTAACATCTGATTTGGTGTATGAGAAAAAAACTAGACACACTGTAGTGTAAATGCACTGCAACTATTATCCCAAAGATAAAAAGAACCTACCCCAGAAAAATGATACGATATCCTGAAAAAATGACTCTTTTCACCATAAGAAGAAATTTTTCCCAATGTATATATGTGGTTTTGTTTTTACTTGCTCCCTGAGAAAAATGGAATGTTTATATCAATTTCTGCCTCAATTCACTTCTTTAGAATTTCCATATATTCCCAAATTGTTAGCATTTCACCATTGAGGCATACTTACCCTTGTGAGACCTTAAAACTATACAGGTTCTGTCTGCACATGGAAAAATCTTATTTTGGAGCTCAGCTAAATGCCACTTTAAAAAACATTTTTAAAAAACAGGCACAATCGGCCATGTGACTCTCTCTTAATACATAATAATTTTTGTCATGTTATTTTTAACCTGATGTTGGAATATTATTCATGTAGCACAAAATACTATGTAGCTGTCACTGTGTTTATTAATATCTCACCAGAAAAATATTTGGAGGATATTTCAAAAGTCCTCCTTCATTTATGTGGCTTTGTGGATCAACTTTTCACTCAATTACTGAAACTATAGTTTTCAGTGAAGAGAGAGAGAGGGTGGGAGAAATCCATCTAGATATGCAATAACATAAAAAGAATTTTCTGAATATTTACTTGGATTATAGGAGATTTAAAAAACTCTAATTTTTATTTAAAAAGATTTCAGAACAATGAAGACAAAATAAATACATTTTTCTTTCTTCCCCACTCACCAACCTCCTTCATTCTTTACATTTTAAAACAGATTTCCCTTTCTCTCCCTATCTATTTCAGAACACTGTTGAATATAAACTCTCGAATATTCCATCTCATCTTGAGTTAACAGGACAAATACAGGTGTCAAAAAAAAAAAAAAAAAAAGGCCACGATACATTTTTCTTTCTTCCCCACTCACCAACCTCCTTCATTCTTTACATTTTAAAACAGATTTCCCTTTCTCTCCCTATCTATTTCAGAACACTGTTGAATATAAACTCTCGAATATTCCATCTCATCTTGAGTTAACAGGACAAATACAGGTGTCAAAAAAAAAAAAAAAAAAGGCTACCGAGGTTGGGGATGGGGTAGGTACAGGGGATGGATGAGAGGCATTTTAGAATTTATCAGCATATGTTCATCATTTCATTTTTATTTGATAAGAAAAACGTTGTCTCCTAGAATATATAAGCCACAGGTACCAAATATCCTCATCGGATCATTCTTAGCTTGCTGATAAATAGTCTTAAATAAATCACTTCTGGAAACGTGGATCGTGTATCATAGAATATAGCTATAAGTGATTATACTACCCTGTTAAACTTTCCATGGCAACTCAAAGAGCTAGTTATTTACAGTGCTTTGAATTAAGTGTGCATAATCACTTGGAAACCTGAGGATGAACAAACAACAGAAGTTAATAACTATGACCTTGCTACAATGTCACTTCTTTGTGAAATATTCTTCCTCTCCATGTACTGAACACGAACATTCCAGAGGCCCTCACACTGGCCAGGATCATCACGTTCTTCCTATTGCACGTCCAATTCTCACAGCAAAATGAGACCAAAGATATGACTGCCTGACAAACCAAAAGAGGCTCTATATAACAATTTATTCTAAATATTCTATCATCATTAAGCCCAATGAATAATGTAGAAAGGCGAAACCCATACACAATTACTTTTAAAACTCATTAGATGAAAGTATTTCAAATGGCTAGCTGAAAACACACAGAATTCAGAATAAACACTGAGGAAACACAGATGAAGAATGTGATCTGGACAATGAGAAGTGGGGACACTGATGGAGACAGATGGAACAGGTTTACTTTTTCAACTCTCACCTATGTCCTTCTTCTTTTTCAGGGGGTCAGACTTACTTTCCCCCTGAGGAGCTGCTTTCTGTGGTGATGGGGTAAGCTCTTCCTGAGCTGGGTCACTTACTTTACTCACGCCTGCTTGGCCCAGCTTATGAGAGCTACTGGGTAGTGAAGCTTTGCTAAGTTTGCTACCGAGCCAGGCATCTTTCTGCAAAGCTGGCGGGGAGGCTTCATGCACGCCCCCCCTGGAGTCTGCTAGTCCACCAGGCACAGCACTCACTTCAGGCCACACAGCTGGAGACACTCCTCCCCCTACAATTGCCAGATAACAACAGACACACGGTGAGCCCGACACACGGAAATTGCTCTTTAGAAGTGATAGAAGAAACGGAAAAACATTAGGACCACAAGCAGAACAAAAACAATCTTGGTTTAACGGAAGTCACTTGGATTTGCAAGAAATATGGAAAGCATACGTTTTGCATAATTTACACCAAAAAAAAAAACCCATTTCAACTTCTCCATATACTGGGAAAAGAAGAAATCAGAACAAAAGAAGACACATAACAGGAACTATTTCAATCTGTAGAACCCAAAAGTTTTTTAGTATATATAAGAAAAAGCCTCAGATATAAGCCCTATTATTCAACAGAATAAAAAAGGACCATAAAGTGCATGAGACATAACATTAAAGATCCTGATTTTTAGCAGTTAGAATTACGTACATTACTACAACGGTAATGATCTGTACCTCCCAAACTTAAAGAAACATGTCCACTATTGTCCATATTATAAGAAATGTTAAAAAGTAAAATGGAATGCTAACTAAAGACAATCAGTATTAAATAAACTTTCTTTTAAAATATGTATTACTACATCACGAATCTAATTGTTATTGCTCTGGGCTACCTGGGTCCCTTCCCTACTTTATCCAAGATTGAGAGGTACATCACATGCATACTTATAGTTACTTTGTTACTGGTTTTATCCTGCTGGTTACTTTGCAAGCAGAGATGACATATGATTAGGCATTCGCATTGCCTTGCCTGAATTTTAGAGGAGTTTATAAGAAGCATGTTAATATGCTGTTAGTAAGTTACTTTGTTACTGGTTTTATCCTGCTGGTTACTTTGCAAGCAGAGATGACATATGATTAAGCAACCGCATTGCCTTGCCTGAATTTTAGAGGAGTTTATAAGAAGCATGTTAATATGCTGTTAGTAAAATCAAGCCAGGCTCTGTCATAGATGAAATAGCTTTTAGGTACAAGATGATCTGTGTTACGGGGTGATATACCACTTCATGGAATCAGGATGGCTCTTCACAGTCCCAGGATGAGCATGAAGTTAGGATGGAGTTTCACACAATGGGAAATATCTGAGGAAACTTGGACTTGTGAAGATGAAAAGGCTATAGACGCACAGAATCTGGATAAATGATGAAGATTTGTGATGAAAATGACAGCTGTAGAAGGTTAGATGTCACCTAGACTCAAAGAAAATGATCATCTAAGGACGGAGTCAACTGAGCAATATTAGAGGCTTTAACCAATTTTTTTGGAGAGGATGATATCTTTCTTTATAAATCAGAAAAATCAATTTTCCCCCTATGAATCTGTGCATAAGGAACTTACCAATAGCAGCTTTGACTTCAATAGCTTCTGAATTCTGGGAATATTCACTAAGTCCAGCTGCATTAACTGCTCTGACCCGGAATACGTAACTCTGACCAGTCACCAATCCATGACAAGTAAATCTAAAAGGAAAGAAAATTTTAAAAAACATTCCCAGGAGGAAAATTAGGGAAGATGATTGTTAGCTTAACTGAGTGATCTGGCTTTAAGAAAATGATTCATTTCTTAAAAGAAAGAAAAAGATGTAGAGAGATTCAGGTAACACATACACTTTAAATAAGAAAGCAGCTAAAGCAATTGTCTAGACTCACTCTGTCAAAAAATGAGGAGTCCTGGTTTTCCCCAAATGCTCATCAGTAAAATGGGGATAATGATGCCTAAATAATAATTTTCATGTAAAGATTAGCAATAAAGTATATAAAGTACCTATTACAGGGCCTAGCATACATGAGGCATTAATACATAATAGATAGTATTAATATTAATATTATTAATGGCTATTTTCAGGTATATCCTTGTGGCTGTAGGGCATTGGCTACTCCTTGTCACAGAGACCTACCTAGTCACTGTCTCCTCGCAAGGCCGGGCCGGGAAGTTTCAATTACTTGAGAAATTACACAAGAATCTGAAAATAAGGTGTTAAGTGGATTCCAGAATTACCATTTAGATATGAGTATCCAATTACGAGGTGTGAATCCATGGGCAGTTTCACACATAAAACAACCTCACTCTTTAATAGTTACTATGGCTATAAATAGCTGTTTCATGAATCACTGTAACATCTGAATCTATTCTAAGGACTGTAACCAGAGGAAATAACAGGTCAGCTAATGACTCTATTATTATCAGTATGCTCAATATATTTAATAAAGGCAGCCATAATCTAGGCCGATTGTCCAGTCCTGGGGATCAGCTCAGTTCAGCAAATATTTATGGAGCTCTCAGTGTTCCAGATACTGAATAGGTATTGTGGACACAAAGATGAATAAAAAATGATGCCTGCCCTTCAGCAGCTCCTGTTTGTGGAAAGGCAGACTCTGCCTATACTAGTGGAAGTTTCTAAATGGTTCCAGCATAATGCTGGAGAATTCAGAGTAAAAATGAAATGCACAAACAGGCTAAATCAATTTCTGGCAGAACACATTGCCTTATCCTGTTAATCAGTTTGTCTCTATTCTCTCTTGTTCTGCAAAAGAACCACCTCATCCTATCGGGGTCCTCAAACTTAGAAGTGGCCCAAGCCAGGAGCTGCCTAACAAGCTTGTTTGACCATTACTGGGGTGGGGGGAATCTCCCTCTCAGACTGGCCGTAAATCAAAGGAGGCACAGAGCCTGGGTGCAGGCCAGAATTCACCATCAGGTTGCGAAGCTGGTTGACACATAGTTGAAAACAAGAAAGAAAAAAACCCCCGCCTCATATTAGAAACAGATACAAAGAGGTGGCAAAGTATTCTGAATGTCCTTGTTTTGGTGTTATTTATGCCTGCTTAGACATCATGTTGGTGTTCAGAATTTGTAAAATATTGATACTAGTTTTCTGTTCATTTAAAACGCCTGGGTAATTTATGTTAAGAAGAGACTATTAGATCCTTGGAATCTAGTTTTTGATTTTGCAATTAGAGACCAGAATAGAGGGCTAAGAAAGGAAGAAATAGCAGAAAGGAAAAGAATCAGAAAAGAGCTATAAAATGAACTCATAACAGCTGGCATTATGTCTTTCCAAGTGTTCAACATCACAAAGAAACCTTTCTTTTTTTTTTTTTTGTCCTTTTTGTGACCGGTAAGGGGATCGCAACCCTTGGCTTGGTGTCGCCCGCACCACGCTCAGCCAGTGAGCGCACCGGCCATCCCCATATAGGATCCGAACCCGCGGCAGGAGCGCTGCTGCACTCCCAGCGCTGCACTTTCCCAAGTGCGCCACGGGGTCGGCCCAGAAACCTTTCTTTTTAAATGTATTGCATAAGACACCTCTAATTTTAAATTTATTTAGATCTTTAGAGTATGATGTTTTTAAAAATCTCCCTCCACTGGATGTTTGTGTTGCTGCATGGTCCATAGCAGCTCTAGAGTCCCACACGCCGGTAGGTCACCCCCAGCTCAATTACCGGGAGCCCTTCACAGGATTGTTGTTGCAGGGCTGCCACTCGCCAGAGCCTGCCACGCTCGCCTCTATGTAGTAGCCGACCAGCTCTTTAGCCTCTTTGGGCTCCTCCCAAGTGACGACCACTGACGTATCTGTATCTCTGCTTGGGATGATTTTGCTAGGGGCCTTGGGGATATCTGAGAAAAGAGGAAAATGGTGATTAACCTCAGGGTGGTTTTTAAAAATTCATTATCACATATTCACAAAACAAATGCATACAGAAATTTTACACAAATAATCATGACAAACATACGGTTGCTTTATTTTATAATATATTTGTTAAAGCAGAAAAAAAAAGTTAGTTTGAGAGCATAATGATAAACTAAATATCCATGAACTCCAGCAAAAAAAACCACATTAGTGATACTGTTGAAACTCCTGGGGAAGTTTACTTTTCATAAACAAAAATAATGAATTTTTGTTTCATGTATAGGCCAAGTCTGGCCATCAATTAAATTTATGATATGAAAGAAGAATGTCACCATTTTTACTTCTGACTATCCCTATATAAATATATGTATACTAATGTATACTAATTGCATTCTTGCTTTGCAAACTTTCTCTTGAAGTACAATGAGCTGACAGTTGCTTAAATTAACTCTACACTTACCGAGTTTATCCCCCACCACGGTCCCTTCCGTTGCCTCCGAGGGCTCACCAACTCCTGCTGAATTAGAACAGCGGACACGGAAGCGGTAGGATTTCCCCTCAGCCAAGTCGAACAGAGCAAAGCGGGGAGACTTTACAGGGAGCTCGGTGTTGACCCGCTGCCAGTTTTCTGTTCCTGTCTCACACTGCAGCAAGAACAGGGACAGCCACTGAAACAATGCATAGCAAGCAAAAATGGGGCTCTGGGCCAGGCCTCTCCAAGTTCTATTTATCTGCCAACAAACTGCTACCCATTATGCGACCTGGACTGGAGAGGAGATTTGGCAGAAATGAGGGATGAGGCATCTGAAGTTCAGAGGATTCTCTAAATCAAATATGGCTTTGTATTATTTGACAAATATGCTACTTTAACATTTCACTTCCTTTATTAACTAAGTATGTTCATTAACATACTTATAGAAGTATTTTGGAGACAGTTTGGGGTCAGATATTTTTCTATTTCTTAGCGTAGCTAATTAGATTTATTATCTGTGTTTGATACTTGAATTTTCATTACATCGCTATAGACTGTATTATTATTATTATTATTATTTTTTTCCTTTTTGTCTTTTTTCGTGTCCAGCAACGGATCGCAACTCGCTATAGACTGTATTATTATTATTATTATTATTTTTTTCCTTTTTGTCTATTTTCGTGTCCGGCAACGGATCGCAACCCTCAGTGTCGCGCCCGTACCGGACCGGGACCGGCAACGGGATCGCAACCCTCGGTGTTGCACCCGCACCTCGCTCAGCCAGTGAGCGGGAACCGGTCTGTATGTGGGATCCGAACCCTCGGCGGGAGCGCCGCCGCGCTCCCAAGCGGCGCACTGTAGCAGTGCGCCACCGGGCCGGCCCCAGACTGTATTATTTTAATTGTGTTATTTAATGACTCATAACATCATTTAGGTCTGTGTTCAAATACAACCTCCTCTGAAAGGCCTTCTTGACCACCTCTTCCCCATCACCAATTTAAAAGAGTCCTTTGCTCTTTTCTTATCACTCTCTATCCCTTACCCTGCTTTATTTTCCTTCAAAACACTTATCATTATTTGAAATTATATTATTTGGGACCGGCCCGGTGGCGCACTGCTACAGTGCGCTGCTTGGGAGTGCAGTGGCGCTCCCGCCGAGGGTTCGGATCCCACATACAGACCGGTTCCTGCTCACTGGTTGAGCGAGGTGCGGCGCAACACCGAGGGTTGCGATCCCGTTGCCGGTCCCGGTCCGGTACGGGGGCGACACTGAGGGTTGCGATCTGTTGCCGGACACGAAAAAAGACAAAAAAAGGAAAAAAGAAAAAAGAAATTATATTATTTGTTGTCTCTTCCACTGGAAAGTAAATTCCATGAGGTCAGGGGGCTGTCTTGTTCACTGCTATACCCCAGAGCCTAGAACTGCATCTGGCACATAGCAGATAATCAACTTTTTCTTTTTTTTCTAGATGAATGAATGAAGTTAGTGAAAGATAAAGATGTTCTCTTTTTTTCTTGCCCAAATTTTAGAATAAAATGGGAAAACTAATTTAAAGACATTTTATTCTTAAAATTAAAATGATGTAGAGTGACTTGAAAATCCTCGAATGAAAGATATGGTGTGTCTTTGACCTTTGGTAGAGGATATAATAAGAAAACTGTCATTAGTCTTCAGGAATCCTTTCTCCCTCCTACTTCTAACTCTGCCTAAGGTCAGCAGAAGCAGAAATTTAGATACTCTTGCCCAATTTTGCTACAGAATTTTTTAACAGTTTCAAAAGACTTTCCCAGAAGTCCAAATGTTGTGATGGATTGACCAACTCTCAAGGATGGTACATTTTGGGAATATAAGTTTACTGGCACATCACTCAGCATGTCTCCATTGACTTGAAATGGCAGGCAATAGGGCATGGTGGGAAAGACCCAAAGGCATTGGATCTGGTCCCAGTTGTGTCACAACAAGATATGTGACCCCGGAAAGTCACATGAGTGCTCTTGATCTCAGTTTCACCATCTGTAAAGTGAGCAAATTTGATAAAGTAACCTCTAAAGTCCCTTGCAGCGTCTTTTATGATAATGTGTCATTTGTGGGAGGGTAGAGGGGGCACAGTCTGCTGCCCACTGAGGATGACATTCTTCCAGACCTTTAATCCTTTCGTTTATGGCTTTGATTCATTTTGACATATTCCTCCCAGGGAATACTCAAACAACTATTGGTCACTTATGCTACACCTCTCAACTCTGCTACAAAGTAGATATTGTGGAAGTAGTACTGTGTGATTATCAAGATTTTCCAGAGGAGACTTAGGCTTGGGGGGTTGGAAAGCAGCACAGTGTGTAATAGTTGGACTTATGGTCCTGAGCCCGACTGTCCAGGTTCAAATTGTAGCTCTGCCTTGTACCAGCCATGTGACCTTGAGCAAATTCTATTCCCCATCGATGCCTCAGTTTCCTCATCTACAAAATAGGCATAATGAAAAGTATTTACCTCATAGGGATACTGTAAGAATTAAGTGGATTAACAAATGTAGCATGCTTAGAACAGTGCTTGGTCCCTGGTAAACATCAGCTCTTTTCATTCCGGCAGATGGAAACAGAGCTAGCAAGTGTAACAGTCCTTGTCTCTGACAGGGCCGGCGTTTTGATAGGAGATTGAGAGAAAGCACTCCAGTCATGGACACGTGCTGGAAAAGTTTGGGGCTAAAAAGAACATGGGAGGATAGGGAGGCCGGGAGTGCTCGAGACCTGTTTGTTTTCCCCTGCTAATAACCCCTCAATTTCAATCATTTCAGGGCTCATGGACAGAGTGTAAGCTGGTAGCCACGACAAGCAAGTTCAAGCCCTGTGTGCATGCAAATCCCAGGTAAAAAGTTGCATGAAGAAACACAGGCATGGGGCTAACCCAAGAGGCAGCACTGCCACGTGCGTGAACATGCTGGGGGTGGAAACCCACCATGGGACAAGAGCCAGTGAACCATTTCCCTTTAGAAAGGTCACCACATCAGAAGTGGTTCATCAGAAATCATTACAAAATCAGTTCAGAACGTCTGACATTTGGATAGTTCTGGAGATACACCCCAGGTCTCTGGATGGGTTCTGCTTCCAATACCTCAGCATCCTGGGTGTTCTATTTGTGTGGACAGTACAGGCCTCTCTACTCAATGCCATAATAACAAACTCCCCTCCTCGTCCACGCAAACAGGCGTGCTGGGGGAGAATGCTTACATTTTTATTCGAAGACTCATGTATTTAGGTCTAAGAAAGTGACAGACTTTCCTGGAGAAATATAGAGTTTATGTGGCCAGAGGAAACGTGCAACAGAAGCCGAAGTTGACTCATCTGAAGTAAATGCCTCAGAGGTGGGTGGTTACGTGCCATTATTACAGGAAGGATGGTAATTACTGTCACAGAGGTTATTCAGAACTCCCTTCCTGTGGAGCGTCTCAGAGACTCAAGAGCATGGTTACTAAACACACCAGGAAGTGGACATTTATCTATCACTATATTCTTATTTCCTATTTAAAAAAAAAAAAAGCTTAGAATGCTACTCGAGTTCTATTTTATTTGAGGTTAACAGGTAGAAAATATAAAAATAAAAACATTTTTAGTATTATTTTCATAGAACGAGACTCTCCTGGAAGATGTCCATATTACATGTTGAAGAGATGATGCATTTATTGTTACCAGTGCGCTAGGGATAAGAAGGAAGTGAGGAATGCAGCTCAAAGATACCTGCAGATTGTTTTCATGTTGTCACCTAATGTGCAAATACTTGCAATACACCTATATACCTCTGAAATCTATTCTCTTGCAATAATTGTCAAGGAAAGTGACCTAATAGGTGTTCTAAAGTTGAATAATCAGAATAGCGTTGAGGATAAAAGGGAGAGGCCTTTAGGAACATTAGCTGAGCTCCATATTTTTGTAAAAAAAGATCATTTCTATGATTTTGCTGTTAAAGTAAAATGTACAATAAATGATACCTTTTCATGTTGTCACACAATGTTATAAAAATAAAATTTTAAAGTACAAAATCTTGTTTCATTTATTATTTTAAAAAATGGCACACTGCTACCAATAAAAATGTAAATGTTCCTATACATAAGATAAACTTACTTTGTTTCATTTTCTCAATTATATCCAAGTCAAAACTTTCTTAACAAATGGATTTGAATCTCATTTTAAGCAAATTGTGTCTAAACATCCTTTTCCAGTGACCTGTGAGCCAAGGGCTTCTTATACCCCTTAGACCTGTGCCTGGCCTAGCAGGCTCTCCTATGTTTCTCCACGTGCAGCCGGGTCAGTTCCCCCAAATAATGTCCTGTCCAGGTCCTGGCTGTTCTTTGTTTGCTGGGCATTGATGCTTATCAGAGTCCCCTCAAATATGGGTGTAGGATGGATTCCCATATTATTTTCATTCATTCCACCCATTCTAGGCCTTCATTGCATGTATGCTGTTCTCTCTGGTGTTCTAATCTCCAACATAATTGAAAGTATTTGGGTGGGGGTAGGGGAGCCAATGTCTTACGTTGGTTTGTAATCCCTGAGCCCACTCTACTACCTGTACATAGAGTGGAGCTGGCCAAGTGCGGTGGCATGTGAGGGCTTGCTGTCTTCAACTCCCCGAGCCGTCTCAAAGTACTGCAACTTCTCTGCTCCTCTCCCCCACCCACCGTCATTGATGTTCATTCCCTACTACAGGACGAGTGGTAGAGAGATGAAAAGCCATCACCAGAGCAAGGGAGGCAGAGAAAGTCTCCGGAAAACATTGTCATTTAGGCGATCTACTATTTCAGGAACATTTTTCTTCTTATAGGGGTTATCATTTCACGTCTGTGGACCTCTTAGGAGTCTATGGGTGATCTCAAAGATCCACAAACCCCATGGAAAACATTGTCATTTAGGCGATCTACTATTTCAGGAACATTTTTCTTCTTATAGGGGTTGTCATTTCACGTCTGTGGACCTCTTAGGAGTCTATGGGTGATCTCAAAGATCCACAAACCCCATGAACTTTTAGGCAAAATTCTGTGTGATACACATTTTTTCTACAGAGAGAGTTCACAGTTTATAAGACTCTAAAGAATTCAGGACACCCCCCTTCCCACCTTCCTCCACCATCCCCAGAAATTTAATCTCTATTCTTTAAAGAAATCTTTAGGAAGTAACATGAGGTACTGTTGATTCTGGAGTCTTACCTTTTCCACAAAGTACATAATTCCCTCATGGCCACGCTGGCCAGGGGGCTTCCAGCTCAGCACCACGTAGCTCCGGGTGGCCTCAGTGACAGAGAGGTCTGTGGGGGGTCCAGGAACAATACCCTCTGAAAAACAACATGGGAAAATGAGGAACACACATTCTGAGTAGCCCAGGATACTCAGAGAGCCACGAGATGCTTCTCTTCTCTGGAAGACTTCATTATGGCCCCACAGTATAAAGAAGTACTTTGTTTCTGAAATTCTCTCTAAAACATTCATTCATTCATTCATTCAATTATTCAGATGCCATAGAGCATTGAGAGGACAGAGCTAAGGGACCTGGGACACTGTTCTTCTCTTTGAATAGTTTACAACTGAGTTGGTGAAAAGAGAAGTTCAATAGCACAAGGCATTGTGGGCTCATGCTAAAAATAAAAAGGACATGAAGAGTCCACTGAAGTCAAGAATGTATCAGGTGGTGGGGTTTGACTTCCGTGTTGAGGTCTTCCAGATGTGGTGAAATAATGTGGTATTATCTGGCTCTAGCTTGTGATTTATTTCCATTTTAGTAGGAAAACATAAAAGCTTCCTAGATAAAGGAAATATTTGCCATTCCTTTATTGGTACTGGTACTTCCAGTGTACATTCCTGACTCCTTGGTGTGTCCTTTTGTTTCCAATGGAGTTTATATTCCTGTTCTATCCTAAAGCATTGAGCCACTTACTTTACCTTCACTCCCTGCCTGATAAGACGAGTGTTACTGTAACTATACTACAAACCCAAATCCACTGGGACCTTGGCTCCTGTCTATCTGCTCATAGGATTTTGTACTCCACCTTATTCTCATCTTGGAGCCAGCGTAGACCCTGCTTGTGGAGGGTTCATTTAGCTCTAAACTCTAGATGCACCAGGACTGCTGGTTTGGGGTGCTTCTGGAAGTATGCTGTTGCCCTCTCCCTGACACTCCCAACCTGGCTCTCAGAACTTATTTTTATACCCAGTTAGGGTTGCCAAATAAAATAGAGAGTTCTATATTTTTATTTGCTAAATCTATGTATAAATTTGTTTAATATAGTTGCTGCCTCAGCATCCATTTTTTAGGCTTGACATAGTTGTTTTGAACCCAGTCATACTGGTCCCCTTTGGACTAGTAAACTCCCCCTTCCCAGGTGGTTATTTACAAGATAGCCTGCTTTTTCCTCATCCCACTGATCCAAAACTCAACATACCCCACAGATGATAGCCACAATAAAACCTGATAGTCAACACCAGAGTCATATAAATAAGATTACCCTTCACATGTGTTTTTTTT